AAATGGTTCTCTGTTTCTTCACTTCAGGCCCTTAACTAATATTGCAACCTTTCTGCAGTTATGCATTTTGGAACAGTTTTGCTCAATAGAAGTGTCTGAGATCTGTGGGTCAAGTTCTTTCTGTAGTTGAATTTGAATTGATTGTTCTTTGCATCTCTATTTCTTGTAAGTGCTTCTAGTTGGTGATTACTGAGCTGGAGGCTATAGAACTGATATTTTGGGGTAGTTCCTTTGTAATTATGTGGTCTTTATATAATTTCCACTAATTATTCCTAATAGTTCTCATCACACGGAAATATTTCTCTTTGTTTCTTTCAGGAGTACTCGGAGCATTTTTTTTTTTTTTTTTTTCTGTTTTGTGCTGCCTCTATTCCGTAATTATATGTTATGTGAATTTTTTTAAAGGGGTTTATTCTGTTCCATCCTTACCCAAATAAACACTTACCATGTTTCCCCGAAAATAAGACATCCTCCAAAAATAAGACCTACATACAGGTTTCCTTCTGAGTGAAATATAAGGCATTCCCCCAAAAATAAGCCCCCCCTCCCCAGGCTAAACATGAGAGATTTGATCCACTGATTCTGAAAGAAATGAAGTCACAGGAAATTCAGGAATTGGATTGTTATGATGATGTTCCAGAAGATGATGACATGATTGTCATTGAATAAATGAGTAAATTCTTGATATTGTAGGATTCAGTTTGTCTGATTTGTGTTGACAACTACCATACTACGGTACCGTATACAGGTAATAAATTTCCTTTATTTTCATTTAACAATAAATATGTACCGTATTCTTTTTCATGGAAAAATAAGACATCCCCTGAAAATAAGACCTGGCGCATCTTTGGGAGCAAAAATTAATATAAGACACTGTCTTATTTTCGGGGAAACAGGGTAGTAGAGTTATGTTATTCAGTCATCCACTGATAATCCTGAAATTAGATTCCAGAAGTCTTGATTCCTAGGTGGTTGGTGTCTTTCATGATTTTTCTAAAGGTTGGTTGTGTTAAGAAAATATTATTTATCTGAAAGAAGAAAATCATGCACTATTTGAAAAACAGCAAAAGATAGTAACTACCAGGAAAGAGGTGGTGGTCTTCATCAGGTATACAAAAACCACTTGATGGGGGCAGTGCCATCTTTATTCCTGGATGGCTGGTAGCACCATGGAAGGATGGACAGATGGATAGAGCTCTGGTGTAAGAGTTCAAGTCCTACTATGTGTTTCATGGATGCTATGTAATACTGTCTTTTTCTTCATCTTCTCAGTGCTTCCAAGATTTCTTTTGAGATTGAAAAAGAAATAAATATGTAGTTCCTTGAACCTCTTGAAAGGAAAGTACTGTCCAACTTAATTATAGTAAACCTCCCTTCTTATTAACAATGCAGTGGTAAAGTTGAAATTAGAACCCAGATTTTTCAATCTGCCAATATACTTCTCCCCACTTACTGTGTTTTTCCTTCTTTCCTGCTCTTTGGGACTATACTAGAAGTTTTCTCAGTCTAGGGTAAACCAGTGCTGTTTTAGTATATTGGCATAGTCATCAAACCGCTGCTCTGTAAAGATGAGATTTCCTCATAATATCATTGGATTTCTTAAGGTTTCGGACTGTTAATTTATGCCTGCTTGGGTGTCAGGATAGTTTGCTGAGAGTTTCGTGCCAGAAAGAGTTAAGAGGATAAGTGGTAAAGTAAACAGGGTACCCTGTTACACAACTCTGGGGGCCCCATTTATATGTATTTCTGATATGAGCCTTCTTGATTCTCCGTTTGATCTCATTTCAGGGATACAGAGTTTTAAGTTAGCCTTTTCAGAACAGCATTATAGTATTTATTATACAGGCAAATATTGCTTCTAGTTGGCCTAGCAGTACTCTCCATGAACCCCCATTTTGGGCTGACATTTTTATCAGAAGTCCACAGAGCACATTTATCATTTTGTTCTAGGACCAGCTGTGGTCTGATCTTCAGCTTTGTTCTCCTAGGAACCAAAGCAGAGTGATAGATTGGGTATCCATGGAAGTGGAGGGGCCCCTCTAGACAGCCTGGCCTTTTTACTCAGACTCCATAATTCTAAAATCAGTTACCGTGGCTAAGTTTTCACAGGATGTGGACAGAGAATATCATCTTTAATTGCTGTCATCAGAACTTCATTTTTTAAAACATGAATGAGAACTACCTGAAAAATGCATAGTACATTCCTGGAAACATTCTTAATTTTATTTCGTGAATCAAATCACAGTGACAGAGACTATGTACTTCAGTTGTGTGGTTTTGAACCCCTTTCCCTAACTTGCTCTGTAATTTACTGTTTGCCTCCAGTTCCCTTGTTTGAAAAAGGGGATTACAGTACTCTGCTTAATAGGATTGTTAAATGATGTGAAGTTGTGAAGTGCTTAGAACAGTATCTTGAGCACACTAAGCACTTATAGATGTCAGTGGTGATGGTGGTGTCCTCCACATCACTTTATATGCCCCCTCGTTCCCTCAGAAGCTGCTTCACCTGAGTCACTTGCAGGGCAATATGAATAGATACAGTCTTTGTCACAGGAATCCTATCTGAGGACATTCATATTTTCAGGCTCTCAGCTCCTCCCTAAAATTTCACGTCCGTAATGTGTTTATTTCTTTGAGTCTTTAGAGGGGTGTTAGGTATTAGACCCTCCTTTCTTTTACTCTCCAGCCTAATTCTCTACTATTATACATTTCTTTTATACATTACCACTCTTTTTTTTTTTTTAATATATTTTTATTGATTTTGTACAGAGAGGAAGGGAGAGAGATAGTTAGAAACATCGATGAGAGAGAGTCATCGATCAGCTGCCTCTTGCACACCCCCTACTGGGGATATGCCCGCAACCAAGGTACATGCCCTTGACCGGAATCGAACCTGGGACCCTTCAGTCCCCAAGCTGTCACTCTATCCACTGAGCCAAACCGGTCTCTGCTACATTACCACTCTTGCTATTTCATTTCTCTCACCTGGAATGTTAGACAAAGTGGGGTTGTGAGTTAAGATTTGAACCCCTTGCAGTTGAATGTGTGGAGTCCACTGTCATTCAGTTGATTAAATATGGAGTTTCTTCCTGGTTGATGAATCCTGTGTTAGAGACTCCGGAGAAGGTTGGCTCCCCTAAATTAATTTGATTGTTTCTTGATTTATCTTCCCTGAGGAGGACCTGAGGCCCCTAATGCTGGGAGGAAAGGGGCAGCACCTGTTTTGGAGACTGTCTGGCTTTGTTGTATCTTATAACTCAGGGAGCAGGATTTACCTGCAATCAATCCTCGGTCATTTAATATTGAGCTTCATTTGTGTGAAGCTGTTTGTCACAGATTTGGTGCATTGCCTCTCTCCCTTGCTACTGTTTAGGAAAAAGTAGGCTGAAATTCAATTCTTCTTCCCTCTATAGGATTTATGAAAATTGAGGGTGCTGTTTAGTGGAGCAAAAAACATGGTGAGACTTCTGGAGAAAAATAAGGACAGGGTGACTTTTAGAGAGAGATCCTTGATGCCGCACTTCTTTTGTTGAAGATCTTCCCTATTTCCTTAGTCACTAAGTATTGAAACCAAGTTCCTGTGCTCAGGCTACCCTCCAGGTTTTAGTATCTCTGGCATCTGTTGCCAGCATTTCCTCTGCAGGACCTGTAGTTGTAGGTCACAGTTCCTTTCCCACCTGAAGCCTGGCTGCTCTTGGCTCAGAGTGATCATGTTTATTTCCTGCTGTTACTTGTTTCCACCTTCTACCAGTCTCATTCTCCCTCTTCTCCTGCTTTCTTCTGGGCTGGATCTTCCCTGGTCCAGAATTTTGGGAAGCTGCTCTTGACCAACATACTGTCAATAAAGCCTTTCTAGAAGTGACCAGAATGTAAAAATGAGTGAGTGGTGAGATGCCTCGGTTCTTTACTCATCTGTGACTTGCAATGTGATTCTGAATGATTCTTTTTCTTGATTATTCTTCACTCCCAGAGTTTTAAGCTTAATTATCATCTCTGTATAGAGAAGAATCAAGTTCTGAAGTTCAAACTCTCAGAAACCTACTGCTTGAGAACTACAGAGCAGGAGCTTTGTATATGTGTTCTGGCCCACTGTTGTCCCTATTCTGAATCCCTTGAGGTGGAAATCTGGGGTGCTCTGCTACTGCTGGTGCTAGGACCCCTTTTTAAACTGGTAACTCCTAGGGTTCTCACTGCTCAGTCCAACATGTGTGGTGTCCAGTGTAGCACCATGGATGTTCTTAGACCTTGGGATCGGTGTGGTGTGGTCCCCAGGTATCATATAGTACACAAAAAATACCTTAATTTTGCCATTTCATTCTTTAATTCCCTTGGGCATTTTGTATTCCGGCCTAGAACCTTTTCAAGCTTCCTAGAACTATAGATGTGTCACTTGAAACTCAGAAATGTTTTATTTCAAGGAAGAATTTAAGGAATAAAGGAAAAGAGGAACAGTGATAGGTACCCTGCTGGAATACCTATGGAGTTTCTTCCTGGGTGATGAGTCCCGTGTTAGAGACTCTGGAGAGATCCGAGATGTGATCCCTGCCTCCTGAGAAAGTTGGCAAGATTGGATCCCCTAAACTAATTTGATTTACCTTGCCTGAGGAGGACCTGAGGCTAGTCAGTAGTTTGCTTTGTGGGACTTTGGGCATATCCCTTTCCCTCTCATGACATCAGTTTCTTTTCTTTCTTTTCTTTTTTTCCCCAGCAAAGGAAAGTAATACCAATTCTGTTTTCTTGGGATATGTGAAACATTCTGTGGGTAACTGAGATATGTATAAATTCTTTCATCAGCATCTTAACTAGGATAGCCTCTGTTGGACAGGAGTATAGTGCTGAGTGGTTCTGACCAATGGGACTAATATGCTAGATCTTAAGATCTTGAGCACTAATTCCCAGCCATGTTGTCAAAGAAGAAATCAAGAACTCCTCAACACCACTTCTCCATTGCTAAGCTTCAGATTTATTCCTGAATGTGATGTGGTCTCTCTCCAGGTAGAATGGAAGAATCTCACTTCAATTCTAACCCGTACTTCTGGCCTTCTATCCCCACAGTCTCAGGACAGGTAGGTGGGGTTTGCTTTTTTCCTCCTCCCCCATGGTGTACTTTTTTCAACTCTGGGTAGTAAGTTCTACTTGCTACTTGGAGACTGAAGCAGGTGGAGACTGAAGCAAGACAAACCACCTGCTTTTTCATCAGGTCCCCATCACTGAGAATTGTATAGTGTTTCTGTTTGGCTTCTCTCTGGAAACACAAAGATAATAACTATCATTCCTTGATATCCAAGGAGGACAAACAATGCTAAGTGCTTAGGGAGCAGACAAAATCAGACTCTTCCTTAAGAGGCCACTTCCCTCCCCTCCTATTTATTTATTTATTTATCATTATAGTTGACACATTAGTTTTGTTTTATTTATTTATTTATTTTATTTATTTTTTTATTAAATTATTATCTTTGTACATATTTTACCATTGCCCCCCCCCCCCATACAGACATATTAGTTTTAGGTGTACATCTTAGTGATTAGACATGTATGTAATTTACAAAGTGACCTCCTACTCCCCATAAGTCTAGTACTCATCTGGCACCATTTATAAGTTATTTTATTATATTATTGACCATATTCCCTATGCTGTACTTTATATCCATAGCTATTTTTATTACCGGCAATTTGTACTTCCTAGTACTCTTTACCTTTTTTGCTCGTTCCCCTACTCCTTCCCATCTGGTGACCATCAATTGGTTTTCTTCCCTTTCCATTTCTTTCAGATTGAGAACACGATGTTCATCAACAAGATGAAGGATCAGCTGTTGCCAGAGAAGGGCTGTGGGCTGGCTCCACCCCACTACCCCACCTTGTTGACAGTGCCTGCCTCAGTGTCCCTGCCCTCAGGCATCAGTATGGACACAGAGTCCAAGTCAGACCAGCTGACCCCACATAGCCAGGCATCCGTTACCCAGAATATCACGGTGGTCCCTGTGCCGTCTACAGGACTAATGACTGCTGGTGAGCAACCCTGCTCTTCTCCAATCTGAGGTGTTGATCTTCCATGATCAGTACCCCAGGCTGGAGGGCTCCAACAACATGGGGAGTGGGGAATGTGTTTGATTACTCAATCAGATTTTTATTAAGAGCCTACTGTGTGCCTAGCAATGCTCTAGGCATTGTGGGGGATACAAAGAAGTAGAAGATGCGGTCCCTGCCTTTGAGGAGGTGACATTCTTTCCTTCTCTGAATCAAGGAGTCTCCTGTTCTCAGAGGTGGAGAAGAGAAGGGAGTCAATCAAGGGGTAAATCTCACTGTTACTGGGGTTGGGGTGGGAACAGGGGTTAGGAGACCATTATTTTTGTACAGGGTTTGGGGTTTCCTATATACTCTGGGCTGGGGAGGTGGTAAGGGTTTAATTAGACAATGGTCTGGGGAAATGAAATAGGATTAGGATCAAGAACTGGACAACATGACACCATCTCCTTTTTCTCCCAATCCTAGGTCCTGGTTTGGTAATCACGTCCCCCTCAGGCTCCCTTGTGACCACAGCCTCATCAGCTCAGACCTTCCCCATTTCGGCTCCCATGATTGTCTCAGCTCTTCCCCCTGGCTCACAAGCCCTGCAGGTGGTCCCTGACCTCTCCAAGAAGGTATCGTCAACCCTAACAGAGGAAGGCGGCGGCGGTGGAGGTGGAGGTGGCAGTGTGGCCCCAAAGCCCCACCGGGGCCGAAAGAAGAAGCGGATGTTGGAATCCGGGTTGCCCGAGATGAACGACCCTTATGTCCTCTCCCCTGAGGATGACGATGACCATCAGAAAGACGGCAAGACCTATAGGTATGAGTCATCCTGGGGCAGGATGGGGTGAGGATCCCTGTCTCGGCTTCCCTACCCTATCTGTGTCTTGCCCCTAATCAGCCTGTATGCTCTGCCAGCTTTCCACCTCAGATCCACATGCATGTCAGGTATTTTGCCACGGGGCAGGAAGGTAGAGCTTCTAGCACTTCTCTGGTGCCTTTTCCCCCAGGATGGAGACCCTTTGGGGTCATCAGCATTGAGTTATTTTTTGAGTGGCATAATGGAGGTCTTTCTTGTAATGAGGCTTTAGACCGGGTTTGAGATTCTATCTCCAGCTCCTTTTTGCTTTCTGCATTTTCCATTCCCATTTTTCCAAGAAACCTTTCTGGTAAGCCCCTCACCAGTATACCATCCACTGGTTTTTTAAGCCATATTTGTGCATTGAACCAGCCTGACCCTGCATGGTTGGGATAATGGGAGGGGTCTGTATAAAAAAGTGGGAGGAATAAGATGCCTCCTTTCCCCCACTTACGCTTATAAAATGACAGCTTACTCTCTGATTCATGGAAGTCGTTTTGATTCTTTACTGCCTTTAAGTTGTCCATGGCCAAAAAGCATTATATTTGCATGTGATAATGTACAAAAAAATAATTACATAAGCAAACTTTCCTTTCCTTTGAACATTGGAAATCTTTTAATTCCCTGCAGACCTACCAAGGACCCTAGTGGGTTTGGGGAGTTTGGTCCCAGTGTTTAGAGTAGGATAACCACTGCCACAGCTTTGACGCAGACAGGGGCAGATATGCATGGCTGGGAGACTGGGTCTGTCCTTAGTGTACCGAGATGGGCAATGTTGTTCCCATTTTAGGAGCGAAGGGAACTGCGGCACAGGAAATGGACAGAGCCTTGGGCTCATGGATTCAGTTCCCGGCTCCACCACGAACTTGCTGTGTGACCCTGGGCAAGTCCTTTTCCCCTCTCTGGGCCTCAGTTTCCTCATCTATAAAATGGGGAGAATTCTTGTTTTTGCCTCCCATTTGTTGGGAGTATATATCAGATAAGATTTGAAATGTTGGGAACTTCAAAAGAAATAAAAGTAGTTAGCATTTATTATTGTGTTGTACACTTTTGTAGAGAGCAGCTACAACTACAGAGACTTTAAATCCCTCTTTGTAAGTGAAAATGAGGGGAGTGTTGCTATGCAGAAAGTGTAGAGCACTACAGAATTCAGTTTATAATCTGAAAGTTCATTGCAGCTTTATTATTACAGGTATATCCCACTTTATACAATAAAAGTGTTCCTGGAAAATGTTTACATCATTTCATATTATAAAGGTACCTGATAAGTTTGATTAATTTAAAGGCATTATTTTATATATCATTTCATAAAATGAAAATCCCTCTTAAATCTATTTTGTAGAAATCTGGATTTTTATGTATTTGCTTACAGTGAGGTCACTGTGACATGGAGGTTCACCTATACAGAATTGGTTGTGTTAGAAGTAGTGGGGGGAGGGTGTGTTCTCTGGCACCCTGTGGAACCCTTCACATGGGCCAGGGTCCTCTGATCCTGCCAAGGCTTTCTTGTTTATTAGTTTTTTGGACCCACATTAAAGCTACCTCTGGACTTCCCAAATTGTTTCTATGGAAAGAAATGTGAATACACAATTAGAAGGAAGCCCTAGTGGGATTTTCTACACCCTCCATGTTTTTTGAATTCTTGACGTCCCTATTCCTAGGTGACTAAAGAGAACTCTGAAATTTAAGGGCAACTAATTTTATTCTAGATGGACAGGATTTCTTTAGAAACTCAGAACTCTGAAGTTCCAGTGAATCTTTTTAATCACAAAGAATCCCTCTTTCGATGCATATGTGGGTCAACCACATCCATTCCTGTGGCAGGTGGCATTTGGCTGTATTGGGGGAATTGGGTTCTGTTTCTCTGGACAGTTCAACTTATTTCTGACTAAAGAGTTCCTATCTATAAAATGGAAGGTCAGTCATGGCCCTCATCTGTCTTGTGGAACTGTTTTGAGGAAAAATCAGAGAATTTGAAATTGTTTTTGAGCATCTTAGGGAGAAAAAATGGGATGATAATCCAGAATAGTTATTATAAGCAAGGCCATTGTATTTCATGCCTCCAAAGGGGCACCTTTCTCTTATTGAATATGAATGGTGCCCCCTGGAGATTATGCACCCTGTTATAGGGGGTGTTGGCTTTTCTCTGCCCCGTTAACTGTTCACTGCCACAACTCTCCTAAATCAGATTTCTTTTCGACTACCCGACACTGCAGTAAAGGACTTGTATTCTTATTTAGCTTCATAAGATTTCATAGTTGGAAATACTTTAATGGTCACCTATGCTGTCTCTTCCCTAAGCTTTAGTTCTCTCAACATCCTGGAAGATGACTGTCCAACCTTTCCTTGATACCTCTAGTGTGAGGAACCTTTAAATTAGGCTGAAATCATAGCTTTGTAATAAATAACTGTTTGTCCTTTGGCACTTACTTAACCTTTCTGAGCTTTTGTGTTCTTTTCTATGAAACAGGGTTAATACTTGCTAGCTTGTTGTGAGGGGTGGAAACAAGTTCCCTGGCAATATCAGGCACAACAACAGATGGCAAACTTTTATTATTATCATCGTTATTATACTTAATACCTTTTGAGACTTCTGGTTATGTTGCCAGTCCATTATCGATTAAGTTTTGCTGATTCTTGTCTAGTTGAAAACTTTGATGGTTATTTCTTCTTTTACAATTAGTTTCATATTAAGGATCTAAACAGCACTCATATATACTACTGTGTTTCCCCAAAAATAAGACATTCTCTGAAAATAAGACCTAGCGCAACTTTGGGAGAAAAAATTAATATAAGACATTGTCTTTTTTTTTTTTTAATATATTTTATTGATTTTTTACAGAGAGGAAGGGAGAGAGATAGAGAGCTAGAAACGTCGATGAGAGAGAAACATCAACCAGCTGCCTCCTGCACACCCCCCACTGGACATGTGCCCGCAACTCAGGTACATGCCCTTGACCGGAATCGAACCTGGGACCTTTCAGTCCACAGACTGACGCTCTACCACTGAGCCAAACCAGTTTCGGCAAGACATTGTCTTATTTTTGGGGAAACAGGGTAGCTAAATGAGTTAAAATGAATGTATTGTTCTACTTTTAAGAAGTTTAGCAACTAAGGGAAATTATATTATAACTTTAATTCACTTCCCCCGCCAAGTGGCAATGTGTCCAGTTCCTAACCTCAGTCTTAGTGAAACTATAGTAGCATGAACACAACCATCACATTGATGCTGTTAACATTAATGTAGTTTTATTATTTTAAAAGATATTTTTATTGATTTTTAACCAGGAAGGGAGGAGGAGAGAAACATTGATGTAAGAGTGAAACATCGATGGGCTATCTCTTGCATGTCCCCTAGTTGGGATGGAGCCCGAACCCAGGCTTGTGCCCTGACTAGCAACCTTTTGGTGCACTGGATGACACTCAACTAATTGATCCATACCAGCCAGCCCAATGCAGTTTTATTATTAGAGAATATTGGCTTAATTTTGACTGTTCTGTTTGCTGGCCCTTGTAGGGGCAGATATTTCATTTATCTTTCTATTTACAGATCAGAAAATTAAGGTCTGGATTGATGAGCAATCCTATAACTGAACCTTGAGTAGAGAGCCTAGGTGTCCAGATTTCCTGTTGGGTGTCTTCCATTGGCTCTGTCCATTAGACTGTGCTACCTATAAGCAGAACCTCCACATCTCTACAATGGTTGGGCATCCCAGAGATTAGTTAATTGGTAACTTAGTTTCCTTCAAGTTATCAAGTAGCTAGAGAAAACGAAATTGGCCTTAATGATTAGAATTTTAATAGAAGCATTAATAGAAATCATACCCCAGCTAACAGTGATGTCTTTTTCTCTGAGAAGCTCAGAGTTCTTTGTAGCCTTGATCTCAGTTATTCTCCAGAGATTCTCCTAGAATCAGGAAAAAGTAGAAATCCCTCATACCATCCCAGGTACTCTTACAGTGATAAATTGGGAGGACCCAAAGAAGAGGGATTTGTCCCAGTTACCTGACTTCTAGGTTATTGCCCTTTCTACCAGTCTTCGTTGTGTACCGGTGACTTGTTTAGAAATGTTAGGGTTCTAGCTCACATATAAACACCGTTTATCCATTAATGTCTGAATAGTTGTGGTCTGTTTTCAGAGGCCTTCTTACTTGGTATTGTTGGACAGTTGCAGAACAGGAAGATTACCAACTCGGGGGATGAATAAAAGTGTATTCAGATTCTATTGTTGTCAACCCAAAGTGCTAATGTTGGCTCCATGTGTGAGGAAAGGGGAAAGGCTTAGCACGGAAGCTTGGTGTTTTGCAAATCTTTTTCTCCTACCTATTTGAGGGACACAACCCACTCCTAACAGATACCTTGGCTCATTGCAAAAGTGATTTTTACTTGATTGCCTACAAGGTGGGGGTGGTTGGCTCGTGAAACATCAGATACAGGATAGAGGCTAGATAAACATGAGTTGGAAAAGCCCCTCCCAAGTAGTGAAATTCTAATACTTCCCCACCCCCATCCCTCTAGAAATCATGGCAAAAAGGAAATAGGAGAAAATCTGAGAGAAGATGGGAAAGGAGACCAGGGTATTTTAGCCAGTTTGTCCTCATCACTTCAGGAGCTTGAGGAATATCTGATGGATGTACTTTTTATGGGTAATTGAAGGAAAGAGTTCTTTAAAATTAAAATTACAGGCAGAAGGAAAACAGAAGTTAGCTGATGATCCTAGCCCAGCGAAATTCACATCAGCCAAAGCCCATAATAAGAGTTTCCTGTCTTCCTTGGTTAAATTCTTGTACACACTTGGCAATCCAATTTTTCAGCAAATGTATTGAGTATTTATAGTGTACTGGTCTGTGTTAGAAGCTTCGACTGTAAAAATAAATAAAACAGCTCCTCCTCTCATGGACCTTACAGTGTAGTTGGAATAAGAGAGAGATCAGAAAGGTTGGCTTCTTTGGAAGTGGAGGGGAGGGTTCAGCAATGCCCTCTCAGTGGGAAAGGTTCTAACTGCTGCCCTCACTTGGCCCAGGTGCCGGATGTGCTCACTGACATTCTACTCAAAGTCGGAGATGCAGATCCACTCCAAATCACACACCGAGACCAAGCCCCACAAGTGCCCACATTGTTCCAAGACCTTCGCCAACAGCTCCTACCTGGCCCAGCACATCCGTATCCACTCAGGGGCTAAGCCCTACAGTTGTAACTTCTGTGAGAAATCCTTCCGCCAGCTATCTCACCTCCAGCAGCACACCCGGTAAGGCTGCTCTTGATTTTACCCACTACCTGGCCTTGAACCCTCCACTCTGAGACCATGTTGCCTGTGCCTATTGCTCTCTCTCCACACGTTTCCTTTTCAATTTTGCCCTTTGCGAGCCTCAATTCTCTCCCATTACTGTTTCTGAAAATTAAACTATGTCTTAGGAGTTTGGTGTGGGGGGCCTGAAAATTGTGGTCTTCAATCCCAAAGTCTGGAACGATTTTTGTGGTTTCTCTCTGTGTCTGTGTTTGGAAATCTTCTGCAGAGCAGGCCCTGCATTTACTATATGCTTCAGTTCAGAGCCAAGGTGTGCATTCAACTTCAGGTCCATGGGGAACAGGCGGTATTGGTCTTTGTTCAAATTACAGTGTGGAAGCAGGGTATCTGTGGTGAGTGTGTAACCTTAGCACCAAACGGAGGGTTGACGAAACTGAAATCTTTAAGGCTACCAGGAACCAGGGGTTGCAGCTCTTCATCATCTCACTGCCATTCTAGCCACCGACTTAAGATGAGCAACAACCTAGATCTTGGTGTCCTCGTCATTAGCCTCTCCAGGCCGGAGTGTGTTTGGGAGGAGGGAGGAGGGGGTGTTCTCATCCCTCGAGCAACATCATTTCACCCAGCAGAGAGCTGAGCCCGTGGTATCGAACTGCTTCCTCCTCCCCCCTTCCTTCCTCTCCTCTCCGGCAGGATCCACTCTAAGATGCACACGGAGACCATCAAGCCCCACAAGTGCCCGCACTGCTCCAAGAGCTTCGCCAACACCTCCTACCTGGCTCAGCACCTCCGTATCCACTCGGGGGCCAAGCCCTACAACTGTTCCTACTGCCAGAAGGCCTTCCGCCAGCTCTCCCACCTCCAGCAGCACACACGGTAAGGGAGAGTGGCGGGCTACTGCCCCCGCCCTGCTGGCATGCCCTCCCCACCCCCGCCCCGGACACACACAACAACCCGCATGCGGGGGGCGGGGGAGAAACCTGGCTGGAGGAGAGACCTGGCTGGAGGAGAACACGACTGGCATCTGGGAAGAAGAACAATCAGCAACATGGAGCTTGAGGAATACATGGATGCTCAGAGAGAGCCTTTCTGAGGCCAAAGCTACATTGGGGAGATGCAGTGACTGATATTCCTGGATGCATGGGAGGAAGAGATTGATCTGGAGCAGAGACAACTTTATTTTCCTCATTTCCTTCCTTGAAAATACCCATGCACACATCTTGCAAAGTTTTCTCCTTGATGCCAAAGCTGGGGCATTTGAAGATGTTACCTCTAGTCCTTAGAGCACTGCTTATGAATGGGAGATACAGACTTTAGCTGGGTACCAGCCTGGTGACAAAACAACAAGCAAGCGCCAAGGGATGCCAGGAGTAGAGAACAAAACCAAACATGTCTTAAATCTTAAAGAGCCACAAACAGTGAAAAAGCTCATACTTTGTAAGGATGTCTACTGTTCGTACCACGAATCTGGAGTGACTAGGAGGAAGTGAGCCTGCCAGCTAGAATTGATGTCATTTAATGTATCTCATGTTGAAGTGGAGTTCAAGACTCTTAATAGACACCTGGCTTCTTCTGGATGTGGTGATCTTAAAGTGGCCCGACACCGTGCTTTGTGAAGAGGAGTCCGGCTTTCCTCACAAGGAGACACATCCTGTGATGCTTTCAAGAGTTTATACCAGACGTCCAGAAAACCACCTGGTCACGAAGATGGTTCTGAAGTCCCTAATGAGGAGCAGATGTTCATACACCATCAAGACCTTGGCTCATTTCAGTGGAGGACCCTGTAGAGATTGGAAAAGAGGTCAAATTGATACTAACCTAGACATTTCCTGCCAGTAGGGGGCTGTACAGGGAAAAGCCTGAAAGAGTTTGTACAAGTATTCATATAACATACTTTCCGCAATTATCATAACTGTATTTTTCTTTGACACTAGGACTTTTCTCTGGGAGTAGTGCTTGAGGTTGAAGAGCTAGTTTCTAATTGGATAGTGAGGGCCAAGGAAAAAGTGTTACGTGTTTCTTTTTTCCCTACATTTGTGTTCACCTGATGTTTCTGAGCATTCATCAGAGACAGTTACTGTAAGGGCTTTCTTGTATACCAGATTGTGACCTGCCTGTCCCTGGGCTGCTGTGCCACCCATCCCTCCTCCCCCAGCAGAGAGGAGCCCATCTTGAGCTGAGTGATGGCAGGCAGTGAGCAGAAATCAGGCACTGCAGCCTGACCCGTGTCAGAGCAGCTGAGGTATCCTGGAGACCCATCTCGTACTACTCCCACTCCTATGGGAGGCAGGAGTGTCCTCGAGGAGGCTTTTTAAAGAGCCAGTCCCCAAGTGGCCTTGCTGACATCCTTTTCCTTTCTTGTTTTCTCATCCCGTGCAGAATCCACACCGGTGATAGACCATACAAATGTGTACACCCAGGCTGTGAGAAAGCCTTCACACAGCTCTCCAATCTGCAGGTAAACTTTCCGCATTCAGCATGAGGCCTTGACTTTAAGACTCGGGATCGAAATGCCATTTGACTAATATAGCAGTTCTCAAATGTCTTCAGGACCCCTTCGCACTTGTAGTAATTATTAGGGAACCCAAAGAGCTTTTGTTGATGTGGGTAATATCTAACTACATAGATATTGTGAAACTGAAAAACTGGAGAAGATATTTAGTAATTCATTTAAAAAATAGCAAACCCATTGCAAAACACAAACAGCATTCCCAAACACACACACACACACCCAAAAATTTAATGAGAAGAATTACATTTTTCCACATTTCTTTAATGTATGGCTTACCAGAAGATGGCTAGATTCTCGTGTCTGCTGTGTTCAATCTATTACAATATTATGCATCATTTAATCACACTGTCATGAGAGAATGAAAGTGAAAAGGCCAACATTATTATTTTGAAAATACTTTTGACCTTATAGACAGATCCCCTAAAAAGGACTTGGTATCACCTAACAATCCCATACCTCACTTTGAGAACCAATGGACTAGTGGGACCAAGCGTAGTCATCATTATAACTTTCAGGATCCTGGTCTGTGCTGCATGAGGTATGCTTCTTCCCTTAGCCTGTGGCTCCTAAAGTTTCCTAGGAAGCAATTTCTACTGCTTTCAGAAGGAGAGAGAACCTGGGAGGCAAGAGGGAAAAGTCCAATACACTCATCCTCGTTTCTACCAATTTTCTCAGTCCCATAGACGGCAGCACAACAAAGATAAACCCTTCAAGTGCCACAACTGTCATCGGGCGTACACAGACGCAGCCTCACTAGAGGTGCACCTATCTACGCATACAGTGAAGCATGCCAAGGTGTACACCTGTACTATCTGTAGTCGGGCATATACGTCGGTGAGTGCTCAGTGTCTTCTCTTTCCTTTCTCATAGGCCTGTAGTCTAGAATACACTTCACCTCATCTTTCTGGATAAAGACCTGTTGCAGTGAATCTGCTGTTTCTCTAGCTCCAACTCACAGAATCAGACAGAACAAAAACTAAACAGACCTATAGCTGAAGAATTTAGGGGATGCCTGATTTCTTAAGCCTATAGAAATCATTAAGCAATGATTCTTCATTTTACTTGAACATAAGGCAAAATAAAGCCACTTGAGAATTTGGGAGGAGAAAGATTTCAGTTACGTATTTCCATTGGACTCTAGAAAAGGGTTTTAAAGTTGTTCCATTCAAAGATGTTTGAGAAAATGACAGCCTTTTCCTGTGCCAATCAAATGTCCATGATGACTCTAAAGGAGTGGTCACCAACCTTTGGACCTCACGGACCACCAGTGGTCTGGGGACCACCGGTTGGCAACTGCTGCTCTAAAGGACCCCCCTTTCTAGCCAGCAGTGAGCCCTGAAAGTGGCTCGTGGGGTGAACTTGCCTATGGCTTCAGAATGTATCTGAGTGTAAGTACTGCTTTATTTAAAGTAAGAGCCCAAGATGCTAGTTATATGTAACTTCTTTCCTTTTCTTTTCCCCCCTCAACTCTTTTTTACCATCTCTCCCAGGAAACGTACCTTATGAAACATATGCGCAAACACAACCCTCCTGATCTCCAGCAACAAGTGCAGGCAGCGGCAGCAGCGGCAGCAGTGGCCCAAGCCCAGGCCCAGGCCCAAGCCCAGGCCCAGGCCCAGGCTCAAGCCCAGGCCCAGGCTCAGGCTCAAGCCCAAGCCCAGGCTTCCCAGGCATCGCAACAGCAGCAGCAGCAGCAACCACAGCCACCACACTTCCAGTCCCCTGGGGCAGCCCCCCAGGGTGGGGGTGGTGGGGACAGCAACCCCAACCCTCCACCCCAGTGTTCTTTTGACCTGACTCCCTATAAGACGGCGGAGCATCATAAGGACATCTGCCTCACTGTCACCACCAGCACCATCCAGGTGGAGCACCTGGCCAGCTCCTAGAGACCTATGCTGCCACCCCCCTGGGAAGAGGGAGAGGAAGTTCTGGTCTCTTCTCACTTCTCTTGGTGGGAAACGTCTTCTTCCTTGACAGGCCTTGGCTCCATCTCCTTGGGCCTCAGGCACAGCCTTCCTTCACAGGATACCATCCTTATTCTCAACTCCTCTTCAAAAGGATTATCAGCCCTCCTGATTGGCAAAGGAATATTGAGCTGGTAGTGTAATCCAGCAGCCTCCCTCCTAAGCATAGCTTTTAAAAATTGGGAGTTGGTGCTCAAGGGGGGGATTTGCTATGACCTCATAGAAACGTTTCCATTATGGGCACTTACTCTCTCCCCTTACCCTCATAATCTTCAAAGTTGAGGCTGATAGAAGACTAGAGGCTGGCCCTCCCGGATACCACAGAGAAGAAAGCCCTAAATGCAACCAGCCTCCTGTTCCAGTCTTGCTTGTGTAAGAACAGAAATTTCTCATGTGCCCTGACCACTGGGAGCCATTTCCCCCTCATGGTCTCACTTCAGTTTCTACCTAATGCTGGAGGAAGGAGATCTGGGTGGGGGTCAGACTCCCTGTATTTGTAAAGGGGCATGAGCTGAGATGTGGTCCCCAAGGGGCCAGTGATCCCCAAAGGGTCGAGGGTGGCTTGGAAATGTGGGACATGGTTTTCCTTGGAGCCTCTCCCTTTTCTGCCAACCAAGGCCCTGTACTCAGCCTCCCGGTCCCAAAACTTGAGCTGTGGGAGCTTTGTGAAATTCCAAACAAAGGAGTGTTGCACAGAAGGGAAAGTTCAGGGCAAACCCAAGGACTGGACTTAGCTTCCTAGGTGCCACGGTCAGTTGCTGGACACGGATTTATATATAAATATATATATATAAGTATATATATACCCACTCATCACGGCCATTTTTGTTGTAACCATTTCTGTGTTTATAAATGCATTATCGCTGAGAATTTTCATATTTGATCTTTTGTTTATTTTTGTCCCTTTCTACCCCCACCCCCTGTCTTCTGACCAATGACATTTTTATTTTCCTTTGTCCTTTTTTTTTTTTTCTCCCCCCAATCATGGCAGATTTCAGAGAAAAGAAAATGGAAAAAAAAAAAAGTCAGGAAACCAGTTGTTATAAAGCAATTTAAAATGAAGAAAAAACTTATGTACAAATCAAGGGGTGTTTTTAGAGTCTTGTATAGAAATAAATTCATGTAAAAGGATCAGAGGCAGTGGAGCTACTGATGTGAGTGAGCACGGGAAAAGCTATTTGAAGAGATGTTCAAGGCCAGGACTAAGAGCTTACACTAGAGTTTCTATATGTGAAGAACAAAAGCTGTGTGATGAGACTCCCCAGCCACAGATGGGTCTAGCTTTGATATTTCTGAAGTGAAATCTTGGTTGATGAGATTTTCTACATCCAAATCTTATGGGGACTGCATTGCCTAAATATAAGACCACTAAGCTTATCAAAGAATAGCAAGCATGGCCTCTGGAAAGGACTTTGTACTCCTGCCTGAACATCAGTGGGCTCAGTGCTAATTCCATTTGGCATGTGTCTATATACATGTATCTTCATTATGCTATGGCACCTAAAATCATAGGTTTCCAGTGGTGGGAACCATAACTGGGATTGAATAACATTGCAGGACAGTTTTCTGATGGTCAGTAAACCTGGACGTGGGCCCTGGCTCTTCCATCAACCAGTGTTGGCCACGATTCACCTTCAGCTGTTAAATGAAGGGATTGGACTAGACTATCTCCAAGATTCCTTTCTGAGAATTAAAAAACCTTTAAGCCCTAGCCAGTTGGGCTCTGTGAGCAAAGTTGGCCTGCGGACGGAAGGGTCACAGGTTCGATTCCAAAAAAGGGCATATACCTCAGTTGCAGGCTCCATCCCCAATTGGGGCAAGTGTGGGAGGCAACCAATTGATGTGTCTCACATGGTTTCTGGCTCTCCCCATCCCACTCTAACCCCCCCCCCCCAAAAAAAAAGAAAAATATCCTTGAGTGCAGATTTAAAAACCAACAAAAACCTTTAAGCACTGAAAGTGTGAAAAAGTTCCCACACCCGATAACATCGCTATCCTCTGGGACTGCTCATTACTCAATGGCGTGAGATACTCAATGAAATTTACCCACTTGATTTATGGTTCAGTCTTTCGTGTGGGTATCCAAGATAGTCTCCGTCTGTGGTGTGACATAATGGATATCACAGGACCAAATATGCCAGTACTTATTAGCTTCCTGAGTATTAACTGCTTCCCCAGCCCCAGCTCTCACCAATAGTTGAAGAGACCTATATAGCCCTACCTTCATCACAGGTTTTAGAACCAGAATCTACTTTTTTAAAAATGATAATGCTCAACTTGACAACAACTCTATGAAGTGGGTACTGTTGTTCTCATAAGGAAATAGGCACAATTTAAATTACTTGTCCAGGGGCATGACGCTTCAGAGTGAAGTCTAGGTTCAGTTGCCACGTCTTACTGCATGCTCAGTAGAGAATGTCGGGTTTCACCTTATACTTTTTCACATATTTTGGTCTAAATTATGTGGTTAAAAACCTGTTTAATTAAAAACCTACTATGTAACATTGATAATCCTCAAGAATGTATGAATTAGGAGTGACATTGATCTCCAAAACATTGTCTTACATCACCATTAGGTTATGGATTTTGAGTTCTGTTTCACTAATGTGGTGGCAGCCCATCATGCACTTAATTGCTTTCCATGCTGATGAAAAGCATAGTTTTTACTGTAGTTGAGTAGGGTGATAGCTGGCGTCTAATTGGCCCAGTTGTGACAGCTCCATGTTCCAATCTTTTCAGAATCCTGGTGCTAGTTTACATCATATATAAACTCGAATAAAAAGGGAAACAAAAACAAAAAGGGAAGGTCATTTTATGTGAGAATGTATTTGAATGTAAAATAGATAAGAATCCTGACAAAAGTGTCGATAATAATAGATTTATTGTGAGGATTTGTAGACTTGTATGGATAAGCAAAGTTGATATGCAATCTACTTTTTCCATGCTAAAAAAAAAAAAAAAATCCTGGCGAGTTGGAATTCGTGTGAGTGAACCCAAATGCCGATGTTTTCATCTAATAACCCTCGATTTGCCTCCCCAACTTAAGAAACTAGCAACCTTAGAGGAAGTTCTGACTCCGCTGAGATCAGCTCTGGTCACCAGATTTCTATTTTGCAAAAGGGGCGAATGATCCCGCAGGTGCTGGAAAAGGGATATGTGTGAAAGAAAAATCCAAGAGACAGGTTTTTGTGGGTGGTTTTTGTTTGTTTTACCTCAAGGCCGCACATACCCGTTTCGGAGGGAGAAAAAAGTTCGATAGAGGATGCAAAATGGCGATCCCAGTGACGTCATGACTGCCCCGGGCGGTCGCATATCGGGCTCAGTGAGGGCGGAAGCGGGCTCCGCCGCTTCAGGCGCCTCTGCGGGCGGCCCGGATACTGACGCTGGAGGACGAGTGCGGCCTGCGGGCGGGTGTGTCCCGGCCGGTAAGTTACTAAGGGCGGAAGTTCTCCTCTTAAGGGCGGAAGAGCCCAAACCCAAGAATAATAGCTTCGACGCCTGTCGCGTTTCGGGCACTTCCGGGGTGGATCGGAAGTTGCTTTGTTTTGCTTCAAGATGGCCGCGGGGATGTATTTGGAACATTATCTGGACAGTAAGAGCCGTCTGGAGGAGGGGGTCAGGGGTCACCGAGTGGTGGGGCGGGGGTCGGGGCCGAGGAGGTCTAAGGCCCCGAGGTCCCGGTGGTGAGGAGGTCACAATTGGGAAGGGCTTCCGGGAGAGAAATCCTGAAGAGTATGAAGAAAGAGGGGGCGGGGCAGCAGGGTCGAACCCTGGCTTTTGGTGTAAGATGAGGGAGGGGCTGCGCGGTGGGGTTGGGGCATGCGGCTTGAAGAGGAAATATTTGCTGGCCCCATCTTCAGGGTCTCCAACCTCTGGGGTGTGTGTGTGTGTGTGTGTGTGTGTATATGATTTTCAAAAAATCATTCCGAATCTTTCTTCCTTTTTGCAGAATATAAATCTGGTCATTTTAGCATATCACTCACTGCCATTTGGAGCAGCGACAAAGATCTCGAGGCCCCTCCGCTTAGTTCTTTCTCAGGAATGGTTTCTCGTGGGGATGGGGGCTTATGAGTGACCACTGTCAGATGATGAACAGGAAGGTTTCTCTTCTTGGAGTAAAGATCCAATCCCCATCAAATGGAAATCTAGTGTTATATTTATACCGTTTATGTAACCCACCCCTTCACAAAGCCTGTCACTCTATGCACTTACATTTGTCTTAGTGTTGGGAGTCATTCAACCATTCGTTCATCGATTCCTTTATTGAAGGTTTGTTATGGTTCAAACATAGTGGCAGGTACTGGGGATATAAAAAAAAACTAATAAGACACCCCTTACCCTCAAGTGCCCATAGTTTAGTAGGAAACAGATTCTGCTAATAAATATAAAAATGTGGCAAGTGAAATACTAAAAATATGTTAAAAGGACTCTTGGTAACAGTGGAGAAGCTAGTGATCTACCAGAAGTCTTGAAGGTTGAAGTCTCTTTTGTCGTGTGGAAAGAGAATGGGAGTTGCAGGTTGGGAAAAGCATCAGCAAAGGTGATGGGTTTGTGGCAAGGTTAGGGAAAAGGGAGGTCAAGAGTGTTTGCTATGTAAGACTCTAAGGTGAAAGAATGGGAAGTGAGACTGGAGAAAGTGGCGGGGCTACCAAGGTCTTTTTAAAGCCAAGCTAAGAAATTTGCACTTTAGTGAGGAACCAACAAATTGTTTTAAATGGAGTGATTTTTATAAAGGAAAACAACTGATAAATGATCAATTGGAGCATGATAGTCTTTGAAATAGGGAGATCAATTAGTGTTAACAGTCCAGCTCAGAGATGAGAACCTTATCTCAGGGGGTGACAGAAATATTTAGGAGTTAAATATGACAGGACTGACTGAATGAGTTAAAGGGTTAAGAGAGAAGGAAGGATCTACGGTGATTTCTTAATTTGCTGTTTGGAAAGTAAAATAGGTAGTATGTCATCAACAAGATATGAAATTCAGGACTAACAGCAACATGCTTAATTCAATGTAGACTTAAGTATAGGAATGGTCATTGTATCCATAAGAATGAATGAGCTCGAGATCACTCAGAAAAAAATGAGAAAATGAGAAGGTTTGAGAGTAACCTCAAGAAAATATTAACATGTAAGGGACAGGCTTTGAAAACACCAGTGTGGGAATTACCAGTAAGTATATGATAAGAGATTCAGAATCCTAAGAGGAAGTAAGTTATTCAGATGAGAGAAGATGGCACCAACTGTTTTAGATAAATAGGATAGAACTGATAACATCATTTGCTTTCATAAGTCATTGGTGACTTAAAATAATCTCAGTAAACTGGTGATAGCAGATCTGAGGTTATAAATTAAAGCAGTGGAGGCATTTTAAAATTTGAAGTATAGTCATGCAAAGAGATTTTTCTTTTATAGGCGAGACTTAAGAATTCATGCATTTCTACAACTATATATTGAGGACCCTCATATGCAAACCATAGTTCTAAACACTAGAGAAGAAGGAGAAGACAAGCATGTCCAGCCCTTCTGGAAGGCTGAAGAGACAGATATTAAAAAATTAATTACACAATTATTTAATGATAGTTGGATAAGTGCAAAGTATAGAGATAGAATAACTTGACAGCAAAATTCAGGCACTTACTTGAGTATGGGAGAGTCAGGGTTGAACTGAATTTTGAAGAATAAACAGGAAGTTAGCAGGCTGAGAGCTATGGTGGAGGTGGAATGAAAAAGACCAGGTGATACATTCCAGGCACAGAGAGCAGCATGTAGGAAGCCAAGTGGCAAGTTCCAGGCAGTCAGAGAAGGCCAGTATGATCAGAGCAGAGAGCACAGAGGAGGACTGACATGAATTAAGGCTGGTGTGAGGTAAGCAAGGGCCAGAAAGTGCAGAACAGGACTAGGAATCGTGCTATAGAAAGTTACTATTAGGTAAGTGACTTGATCAGATTTGCATTTGGCTCAGTGGTAGAGCGTCAGTCTGCGGACTGAAAGGTCCCAGGTTCGATTCCGGTCAAGGGCATGTACCTTGATTGCAGGCACATCCCCGGCAGGGGGTGTGCAAGAGGCAGCTGGTCGATGTTTCTCTCTCATCGATGTTTCTATATCTCTCCCTTCCTCTCTGTAAAATATCAATAAAATATATATTTTTAAAAATATTTGCATTTTTTAAAGGAACAGTCTGGCTACTATATATATGGAGAACAGATTGGAAGTGAATATGTGATGAGTAGTGGAGGATACCAGGAGGATATCTGTATGTTGAGAGAAAGGAGCTTGGAGGCAGAAATTGAAAATAAGGGAAAGTGAAGAGCTAATTTGTAGAGTCACTGAAGGGAGAAAGGATTGGAAAGCTGTGCAGAGATGGAGAGGTTAGTTGTAGAGAGAGGCAGACACAGCCTCTTCTGAGGAAGAAGTGATGAATGCTGTCCCAGAGCCAATGGTTCAAAGGAGGGGAATTTTGAGTACTGTTGTGTACTTTCAAAACAGCTATAAGGCCTATGAAGTCCAGTGAGTTTCAGTTACCCCTCTTCTTCCTAGGTATTGAAAACCTCCCCTTTGAACTCCAGAGAAACTTTCAGCTCATGAGAGACCTGGACCAAAGGACAGAAGGTACGTACAGAGTAAGGGGTCCATGTGAATATTGAGTGTATGTGCGATTTCTTTTTCTGTTCTGTGTTACCCTGTCATCTGGTCTGAGCTGAAGAGCTCTGGCTTCTCTCTTTTTTTATTCTCTTGCATTTCTTAAAATGAGAGTAATGATGATCTGCATTTCTATATCAGCCTTTCTGTAACAAATGGAATATTGCAACAATGCCTCAAGAATTCAGAGATGCTGTGTTCTTTATATCTTCCTCAAGAAGAATTCAACAAACTAAACGCCCACACCAGAATCATGTCTGTTCTCCATGTTTAATATATGTATAGGAAGGCGAAACTCTTTCTACTCCATTGTTAACATAACTGTCACAAAATGCAGTGTGGCTTCAGACTGCAACTCACGTTGGTAGACAGGAGCTTTGCTGTATCACAAGTTCTTAAAGAGAGAGAAAGGAAAAAAGAAGAAAAAGCAGCAATTAATGTCAGGATTTCTACACTGTATTCTTCAACCTTACTGAAGCACTAATCTGTGGCCTTCCTTGGAAGTTGAACAAGTTTGGCTGCATTGAGGCATTCACTGAGAGCCTGAGGCTACACTGCAGTGGTCAGGTTGGTCTCTTCAGAGTCAAAGGTGTCTGTTGGAGCTATCCCACACACCTGCTGAAGAATATATAGGTCTTATCTTCCATTCTTATGAAACCATGCTCAAGAATGTAACGTGCTGATAATACCGAAAACTGTAACTTAAGTTACTCTGGGTAAGTTTACTCGAAAAGGTGAATATCATCTGAAATCTGGATATATGCCCTTAAGAACTGCCTGCTGAATTCTGAGAACCAGCTTGCTCTCTTTGTAATACAGTTCCAACTCTTTCTCTTGCACAGAAAGGCCACTTGGAGATTATCAAGATTATTCTTCAGCTTCTTCCAAGGGCCTCGAAGAAATGGGGCATAAGCATAGTGTGTGCGCAGTCTTTCCTGTTCTCTGTTGCTGCACTGTTAGTCATGCTTCTGTCTCTTTTGTCGATTTTTTTTTTATGAGTCCTATCAAATATTAGGCAGTAGATACCTATAGTCTGTGTCTTGGGACATCACCAGCCTTCCAATATTAAAATGTTTGGAGATAACAAACAGAAAGAAAGTGATGAGAACTATAAGCAAGTTGCAAATGATGAGCAAAAAAGGGTGGACAGTAAGTAGAAGAATTGTTATGTCTCATTTTAAATGATGAGCAATAAATGCACAGACCTGGAAGCCAGCAGCAGCAGATAACCCAATCTGTTTACAGCACTTAGCGCTGTCATGGCATATTTTTGTGACAAAAAACCTTAAAATTTTGGCTTTTAAGACAAAAATTCATTCAAGAAGCAGCAACAAGCTCTGCAAAGAAACATCTTCAGACAGCAACAAAAACATAATTTGTATTAGTGCAGTAGGCAAAGGATCCTCATTATGTTTCAATAATTTAAGTTCCAACTCATAGCAAAGTTTGCAGCACCTGAAGGCACCTTTAAAACAAATATTGTCGATTTGTATTACTTGAGTACATGGCACAGTATCTATGAACACTCAGTACGTTTTAGTTCAAAGGTTATGGTCAATGGAAAAGGTCCAAGGAAGAAGAGGAAGAAGTGTGTATCACCTAGCTACTCGGGCCATTGTGACCAGGCAGGCCTCTCTCTGTTGTAGACCTGAAGGCTGAAATTGACAAGTTGGCCACTGAGTATATGAGTAGCGCCCGCAACCTGAGCTCCGAAGAAAAATTGGCCCTTCTCAAACAGATCCAGGAAGCCTATGGCAAGTGCAAGGAATTTGGTGACGACAAGGTGCAGCTTGCCATGCAGACCTATGAGATGGTATGGCCCTGTTCATGGCTCCCCACACCTCCCGTCTATTCCTCAGGGTCCTGGACCCCTCCTTCATCTGTGTTGGGATCTGTTTTGGGTCTGGGAGATTCATAAAATCTGCCTTCGCCTAAAATCTTTTCTTTCACTGGAACCAGCCTTGTACCTCTTATTTCTTCCTTTCCACCCAGGTGGACAAACACATTCGGCGACTGGACACAGACCTGGCTCGTTTTGAGGCTGATTTGAAGGAGAAGCAGATTGAGTCAAGTGACTATGACAGCTCTTCCAGCAAAGGCAAAAAGAGTGAGGAGGGGGGTGGGCTCTGAGAAGCGGGTCGAGGATTCAGAGAGAGAAGAAGCCAGCTCTTCAGCTAGGAGGGAGGGGTACCAGGTTGGGAAAAGGAGGAAGAAGGAGGACTTAACCTGTCTTTCTGTCTCCCTGCTTTTTGCCTTTCTCCTCTTCCCTAGAAGGCCGAACTCAAAAGGAGAAGAAAGCTGCCCGTGCTCGTTCTAAAGGGAAAAACTCGGATGAAGAAGCCCCCAAGGCTGCCCAGAAGAAGCTAAAACTTGTACGCACGTGAGTTATCAGGGAGCCAAATGACATCCTCTTCTCTCCCATGGCCCTCCTCCCACCCTGCACTGCCCCTTGCCACTTTCTCTGTCCTCTTCAGGGCTCCCTATAGACCTCCCATCTATTCCTCAGGGTCCTAGACCCCTCCTTTCTTCTCCTTACCATTTTGTTATCTGCTGGACAGAGAGAAGCAGCACCAAATCACTTGCCCACCAGGATCTCCTTTGACCACCTCTGAGCCTCAAGTAGTAGCTTCCCTTCCTGCAGATGACACTTGCTTTTCCTCTTGGTATACAGAAGTCCTGAGTATGGGATGCCCTCAGTGACCTTTGGCAGTGTCCACCCCTCTGATGTGCTGGATATGCCTGTGGATCCCAACGAACCCACCTATTGCCTTTGTCACCAGGTCTCCTACGGAGAGATGATTGGCTGTGACAATCCTGATGTGAGAACAATTTTGCCTCAGGATGGCGGGTTCTGGGGACATGAGGTAGAAACAAGAGGGGGGAAAAATGGTTAAATAGTGGGACATCAGGATAGGAAGAAGGTGTTTGGGGTTTTGGGCCTTGGGACCTCTAAGAATTCTTCAAAGGAATGGAATAAGGGAACATTCGTGAGGAATTTATGAAGGGGGGCTTCTTTTTTCCCTCTGTCCCACCCTGCCTTGACTTCCGCTGCTTCCATCTTTTCCAGTGTTCCATCGAGTGGTTCCACTTTGCCTGTGTGGGGCTGACAACCAAGCCTCGGGGGAAATGGTGAGTGAGAGAGTTGTGGTAGGAGCTGGACTGCCCCTACGCTGAATGGCAAGAGGGTATTCTTCCTTTCACTCACTTTCTCCCTCCCCTTCTCTATCATGTTCTATTTGTTTCTTAGGTTTTGCCCACGCTGTTCCCAAGAACGGAAGAAGAAATAGATAAGGGCTTTGAATTCTAACATAGTTTCTTCCACATCCCCTGACCTGGGCTAGTGGGGAGACCTGTGCTGGGCCAGAGGGTTCAGGGAGAAGTGAATGGTGCAGTGTTGCCATCCTTTCTCCTCCCCTGTCCCCACTACTGGTGCTGAGGCTGCATTCAGAGCCTAGTAGAGAGGAATTCCGTAGCCACTAAGGGTATATGCTCTCATCCAGCCCTCCCCCTTCAGAAGGAAGTGGTCTTGCCCGCTGTCCTTTGCCTCCATGCTGAGGTAGGTGCTGTATTTCCAAGGGATGGTCCTCTTTACCCCCCTGGCTTTGTATTTAAGGACTGGGGCAATGGCATGGGGGCACTCCCCCAACCCTCCGGACTCCCCCCACCCTGTGAGGGGCTATGGTATATAAACTTTCATTGTTATCTTCCTGTTTCCATGGTGGGGGCTCCCCCAGCTTATCTGGGCTGCAGCCCTACTTGAAGGGCCACCCCTTCCTCTGTGCCAAGAGGCTTTGTCCTGGCCTTGTGAAGAGAGAGGGGGCAAGGTGGAATGCAGATAAGCCACATGTAAAGGAACTTGGGTAGGTGAATAAAAGCTATACCCATTGGCCTGCTGTGTTTTTTATAAAGATACCATTTTAGTATATGTGCTCAGCATTTATTTATTTACTTACTTTTGCATTTCTGGGTTGGAGAAGAGGTGGGAGGATGACATGCCAAAAAATCAAGACACAATAGGGAACCAGAAGGGAATGAGAATCCACAACTTCTCAACTTGGAAAGGACAAAGCTGACTGGCTGGCTGGGGTGTGTCTCAGACTAGGGTTTTCCACTGGGAAACCACTTCAGGTGTGAGCTCCCCACACCTGACCCTTGCTCTTTGTTTCTCCTATTCCTCTCTGGTTCCTATCCAGGTAGGCCCTGACTTTGTTTTGTATATTCCATGTCTGCCACCCCATAACTCTGCCTATACTTACATTTAGATCTCACTACCTAATTGGGCAATTTGTTTCTCAAAGCAGGTTTCTGAAAAATAGAGGTAATAATAGTATCCAGAATGGGATTACCTTGAAAAAGAAATAAGGTGATGCACTTAAAGAACTATATAAGATAGCCTGGCTGGCACGGCTCAGTGGTTGAGTTGAGTGTCGACCTATGAACTAGGAGGTCACAGTTCAATTCCTGTTCAGGGCACATGGATCCCCTGTGGGGCATGTGTAGGAGGCAGCCAATTAATGATTCTGTCTCATTATTGATGTTTCTGTCTCTCCCTCTCCCTTCTCTGAAGTCAATAAAAATACATTTTTTAAAAAGACAACAGAGGGCCCAACTCATCAAAGGTAATAAAAAAAAAAAAAAAAAACTCCCAACAAATAAAAGTCCTGGACTGAATGGCTTCACAGGTGAATTTTATCAAAATTCAAAGGAGAACTAAGACTTATAATTCTCAAACTAATTCAAAAAATTCAAGAGGATAAAAGACTCCCAATCTCATTTTTTTTTAAAATATATATTTTATTGATTTTTTACAGAGAGGAAGGTAGAGAGATAGAGAGCTAGAAACGTCGATGAGAAACATCGACCAGCTGACTCTTGCACACCCCCTACCGGGGATGTGCCCGCAACCAATGTACATGCCCTTGACCGGAATCGAACCTGGGACCCCTCAGTCCACAGACCGACGCTCTACTACTGAGCCAAACCGGTTTCGGCTCAAGCTCATTTTTTGAAGCCAACATTATCCTAATTCCAAAACCAGATAAAGACACTACAAAGAAAAAATTATAGGCCAATATCCCTGATTAACATAGATGCTAAAATTTTCAACAAAATATTAACAAACCAGATCCAGCAATACATTAAAAAGATCATGCACCGCCTGACCAGTTTGGCTCAGTGGATAGAGTGTCGGCCAGCGAACTGAAGGGTCACAGGTTCAATTCTGGTCAAGGGCATGTACCTGGGTCGCAGGAGGTGTGCAGGAGGCAGCTGATTGATGTTTCTGACTCTATCTCCCTTCCTCTAAAAAATCAATAAAATATATTAAAAAGAAAAAGGAAAAAAAATCATATACCATGATCAAGTGGGATTTATTCTAGGGATGCAAGGCTCATACACTATCTGTAAGTCAATAAACATGATTCACCACCTAAACAAAATGGAGGATGATAATTACATGATAATAATTATATTAATACATGCAGAAAGTGCATTTTATAAAATCCAGCACACTATTTTTAAATCATTGCTGAAAGTATTATGTATGTCCCTCTTTTTCCCCCATTAACCCCTTCTAACCTGCCTCCACCCCTTCCCCAGGCCTTCACCACCCTATTGTCTGTGTCCATGGTTTACTGATATGTGCATACAAGTTCTTTGGTTGATCTCTTCCCTCTGAGATACCAGTCTGTTCCCTGCTTCTGTCTCTGGATCTATTTTGTTCATCTATTTATTTTGTTCATTAGATTCCACATGTAAATGAGATCATGAAATACTTGTCTTTCTCTGACTGGCTTATTTTGCTTAGCATAATACTCTCCAGGTTCCTCCATGCTGTCTCAAATAGTAAATGCTTCTTTTTTACTGCTGCTTAGTATTTCATGGTGTAAATGTACCAAGCTTTTTTTTCTTTTTCTTTTTAAATATTTTATTGGTCTTTTACAGAGAGGAAGGGAGAGGGATAGAGAGCTAGAAACATCAATGAGAGAGAAAAACATCAATTAGCTGCTTCCTGCTCACCCCCCATGGGGATGTGCCCACAGCCAAGGTACATGCCCTTGACCAGAATCGAACCTGGGACTTTTCAGCCCGCAGACTGACGCTCTCTCCACTGAGCCAAACCAGTTTTGACTACCACAGCTTTTTTATCCACTCATCTACTGATGGGCACTGGGGCTGTTAACAGATCTTAGCTATTGTAAATTGCACTGCTATGAACATGGAGGTGCATATATTCTTTCTGATTGGTGTTTCAGGTCTCTGAGGATATATTCCTAGAAGTGGGATCATTGGGTCAAATGGCAGCTTCATATTTAATTTTGGGGGGAAACTCCATACTGTTTTCCATATTGGTTGTACCCATTTATAATATAAACTCTTGACAAAGTGAGAATAGAGGAAACATACTGCAACATAATAAAGGCCCTATATGACAAAGCCAGAGCCAACATCATACTCAATGGGCAAAAACTAAGATCAAGAGCAAGACAGGGATGTTGGCTTTCACCAATCTCATTCAACTTAATATTGGAAGTCCTAGCTACAGTGGTCAGACAAGGACAGGAGTGGGCTGGAAGAGGTTAAGGGTGGTGTAGGGTGGGAGGAGGACCTATGTGATACTTTCAACAATAAAGGTTAAAAGGGGAAAACATGCACACAGAAAATCACAAAAGAAGAGAGAAATCCAAATTGGCAAGGTAGAAGTAAAACATTATTTACAGATTACATGATACTATAATATATATAGAGAACCATAAAGATTCCACCAAAACACTTCTAGAACTGAAATGAATTCAGTAAAGTAGAAGAATACTAAATAACTATCCAGAAGTTGTTTGCATTTTTATACACCAATAATGAACTACCAGAAAGAAAAACTAAGAAAACAATCCCATTTGTATTATAATTACATTAAAAAAGCAACACCCAGCTGAAACCGGTTTGGCTCAGTGGATAGAGCGTAGGCCTGCGGACTGAAAGGTCCCAGGTTTGATTCTGGTCAAGGGCATGTACCTTGATTGTGGGCACATCCCCAGTAGGGGGTGTGCAAGAGGCAGTTGGTCGATGATTCTCTCTCATTGATGTTTCTAACTCTATCCCTCTCTCTTCCTCTCTGTAAAAAATCAATAAAATATATATTTTTTAAAAAGCAACACCCAAACACTAGGAATAAACTTAACCAAGGATATAAAAGACCTATACTTGGAAAATTGTAAGACATTGAAGAAGATAAAAATAAATATGGAAGCATGTACCATGTTCATGAGTAGAAAGAACATCACTAAAAATTTAGACTACTCAAAGCAATCTATAGAGTCAACACAATTTCTATTAAGATACCTATGGTATATATCACAGAACTAAAAATTAATATGAAACCACAAAAGAACCCGAATAGCAACAGCAATCTTGAGAAAGAACAAACTTGGAGGGAATCACACTACCTCATATCAAAGTATACTACAAAGCCATAGTAATCAAAAGAGCATGTTATTTTAAAAAAAATAATAATAATAGTTGAGCCTAGCCAGTGTGGCTCAGTTTGTTGAGCGTGGTCCCATGCACCAGGAGGTAGGTCACTGGTTCAATTCCAGCTCAGGGCACATGCCCAGGTTGTGGGTTCAGTCCCAAGTAGGAGAGGATGCAGTAAAATTTTGAACATTTCATGTAGCAATATTGTTTGTGATATATCTCCTTGGGCAAAGGAAACAAAAGAAAAAAAGCAAATGAGACCACATCAAACTAAAAAGGTTTGGCATAGCAAAGGAAGTCATCAACAAAGTAAAACGATAACCCACTGAATGGAGAACATATGCACCAATAAGGGGACATACAGATGGCCAATAGACATATGAAAAAATGCTCAATGTCACTAATAATCAAGAAATACAAATGAAAAACAGTAGAGATATCACCTCACACCTGTCAAATGGCTGTCAATAAATCAACAAGTGTTGGCAAGGATGTAGGAAAATGAGAACCCTTGTTCACTGTTGGTGGGAATGCCAATTGGTGCTAACACTGTGGATTCCATAGGGCGTTTCCTCAAAAAATAAAATGAAACTGTCTTATGACCCAGTGATTCCACTTCTGAGAATATATCTGAAGGAACCTGAAACACTAATTCGAAAATATACATGCACCCATGTGTTCAAAGCAACATGATTTACAATAGCTAAGGTTTGGAAGCAGCCCAAGTGCCAACCATGGATGAGTGGATAAAGTAGCTGCGGCACATTTACACAATGTAATAATATTTGGCGGTAAAAAAGAAGAAAATCTTGCCCTG